TGGAGATGGGACATTGTCTGACAGAAGCTGGGACTGAGCCTCACCACTCCCAGGCTGGGTCCCGGGGAAGAAGAGGAAGAAAAAGCAAGAGTGGATAAGAAGTCTTCCCTTTGAGTTCCAATTCAGTGGAACCCAAATGTGGACCATTAGCTGAGCCTCTGTGCCAGCCAGAGCTACCTCCACAGTCTTATCAGATGGTACATACAGAACCAACCTAGCACAGGAGACACAGTCTGAATATCTTTCAAGACTTAGTGCATGAAGCCACAGGTATATGAGGGCCACCTTGTAGGGTGTTTATGACTATATATTAACTGGCTATACATTCACCTGCAACATTCTACATAGAACAGCTAGCCATTATTTTTACTATTGTTTTGACATCATTAATAAAATGATAAATTCTGGGGCTGGGAAGGTGGCTCAGTGGTAGAGCGCATGCCTTGCATGCCAGAGGCCCTGGGTTCGATTCCTCAACACTACGTAAGCAAAAAGAAAAAAGCCGGAAGTGGCACTGTGGCTCAAATGGTAGAGCACTAGCCTTGAGCTGAAGAGCTGAGGGACAGTGCCCAGGCCCAGAGTTCAGGCCCCACGACAGGACCCAAAAAAATAAAAAAATAAAATAAAATGATAAATTCTATCATCAAGGTTTTTGATTTATATTTTCAGTGGTGCGGGGAAATCACACCGAAGGTTTGTACATGTTAAGCAAGCAAACACTCCATCATTAAGCAACATCTCCAGAAGTCTAATATAACCTTATAATTTTATAAACTTTATAATTTTATAATATAACTTTTATAATTTTATATGATAGTGCCCACTAACAATGCACCTACAGACACATGCAGATAACGGATAAATACCACCTTCTTTCTTTTGCACTTGGCCACTTTTTGGAGACCTCTGTTTCTTTGGGGGAGTACCTAGGATTGCTTCTTACTTCCTTATAACTTCAAAAGCCTGTTCTGACCATTAACAGCCATAGAATGTACACCAGCATTGGGACAAGTACAGAACACTAACTGCTGGGCCCACTTAAATATTCTGTCTCCCCAAAGCCTCACAGGTTATCAAAACAAGTGGGGTTACTGTGGGAGGACCCTGTGAAATTTGAAAATCAATGTTACCAGTGGAGTAGCTGTTGTAAGTAGAATAAATAAAGCTCCAATGATAATGAAAGGAAACAATAAAGTCACCATCAACTGTAAAAATTGCTTACTGTGTGTTTCTAAGAGCTAGGATAGCATGGGTCTATGTCTATGTCCTCTTCTACAATGCCTTGAGCCAGGTGCTGGTAGCTCATGCCTAAAATCTTAGCTACTTGGGAGGCTAAGGATTGTGGTTTGAAGCCATCCTAATTGGGAAAGTCTATGAGACTCTTATCTCCAATTTACCACCCAAAAACTGCAAGTGGAGTTTTGGCACAAGTGGTAGAACACTAGTCTTGAGCAAAAAAAAGCTCAAAGACAGCACCCAGGCCCTGAGTTCAAGCCCCAAAATGGGCACTTAATTAATGCCCTGGCACTTAAAACAACTCCTGCTTTTATTATCTCTCTGATAACATGTTGCTAGTTGTGTAAGAAGTATACAGACAGTCCTTGCTCTGGTACTGTGGTCTCTTTAACCAACTTGAAGAGTTCAAAGTCATCCACTTTGCTACAGGAAGATAGAAGATCCAACTTGAGATATTAGCCCCTATGTATGCTAATGTCTGGCCATAGGAAATTGCAGACGCACTAACTGTTGTTGTAAATATGTGTCCCTACATGCAATAAGGTCAAACAGAATCCACAACAAACCAAGTTAATAATTACAGAGCCAGACTAGCAGTTATTTATAGCTAAAAAGCACTGAGAACAGAATTGGGAAAGCTAAAAGCAGCCCAGTAGCCCTGATGATAGTAGTCCTGATGATGTGTCCTTTCCCACCATGGGAGAAGCCGAGTCCGTGAGGTCATAGATGGAGTAGGAACCTAGCAGTGCTGTGAGAGCCAGACTGCTGTTTGTGCTGAACAAGGAGCCTCACAAAATCCACCTAATTGTAGACATGAGACTTAATCATTTAGGTTGTCATTAATGAGCAGCCCTAGCGTACATACCCCATGTATGCTTATACTCAAGGTCGAATCACAGCTGCAGAAGCATTCCCAGCTCCTGCAGAGTTGTTTGTTACAGGAAGAATATTGGTCTTGGGAGAGGACCAGTTACCTCTGTGTTACTGGTGGTTTTTCGTTTCGTTTCGTTTTGTTTTGTGCTAGTCCTGGGGCCTGAACTCAGAGTCTAGGCCTGGGTACTGTCTCTGAGCTTTTATGCTGAAGGCTAGTACTCTACACTTGAGCCACAGCTCCACTTCTGGCTTTTTGGTAGTTTATTGGATATAAATAAGAGTCTCACAAAGTTTCCTGCCCAGGCTGGTTCGAACCATGATCCTCAGATCCCAACCTCTTGAGTCACTAGGATTACAGGCATAAGTCACCAGCACTCGGCTTATTACTGCTGTCCTAATGCACAGGGGAAAAACCCTGGAAGTTTAGGCATCAATGAATTAATAGTGGAGGGGGAGGAAAGGTGGTTTTCACTGTGTTTATTCTATCTTCTAAATATTTCCACAATGAATGAAAATTACTGCTGGGCATTGGTAGCTCACAGCCTGTAACTAGCTACTCAGGAGGCTGAGATGTGACAATCACAATTCAAAGCCAGCCCCGGCAGAAAAGTCCATAAGACTCTTATCTCCAATAAAGTACTCAGAAAAAGCCAGAAGTGGCACTCTGGATCAAGTGGTAGAGCACTAGCCTTGAGCATAAAGAGGTGTCCAAGCCCTAAGTTCAAGCACTAAGACTGGAAGGAAAGAAAGAAGAGAGAGAGGGCGAGGGGAGAAAAGAGAAAAGGAAAGAAAAGAAGAAAATTACTTGTGGTTAATTTTTTAAAGCTTCTTCCAGTTCAAGTCCAAACAATAGAACAGCACAAATATTTTGGTCACCTGCCCACCACCCTAGGGGAGTGAAAACAATTACTGAGCAGGGGGAGACGACAGGTTTATAAATCAGTCGGTCTACAGTTACTTGTGCTGCTAAGATTAAATGACAGTGGCAGTTGTTCTTCTTTCAAGGCTTGACCTGACACTGTTTAGGAAAGAAATTTCTCTTTCTGCTTTGGTGCCCTCTTCCTATGTTGAGAGGTTTTCAGACTGTTTACCCTGAAGGCAAGAAAGCAGAGGTAAGATGTATATAACTTATCTTATTCAAGTGGGGAAATGGGCTGGAATTGTACCCTTTTAAAATGGTAAAATGCAGAAGATGTATATGTATGTGCAATGTATATGTGAAAAACACGTAAGCAAACAACCAAATGAATGATTGAAAAACCACTACCCAAATAAGAACTAGAACATTGCCAGTACCCAGAATATTTCTTCCTACTCAAAGCTCCCTCCACCCTCCCTCGAGGATACCCCTAAAGTCCTCCTGTCTTCTATGCGATTACAATTTAGTTTTGCCTGATTTGCATAAATAGTATGCATGTGGGTTCCCTCAGCATAGTAGATAAGTACCTTGCTGCCTGTGTTGTAGCTCTTTTGTTGTTGTTGTTGCTGTATAATATTACAATATAAGCCTATGACACTATCTACTTACTTTTTTTTTTTTTTTCTGTCCGTCATGGAGCTTGAATTCTGGGCCTGGGCGCTGTCCCTCAGCTCTTCAGCTCAAGGTGAGCGTTCTACCCCTTGAGCCACAGTGCCACTTCCGGTTTTGTGAGTGGTTTATTGGAGATAAGAGTCTCAGAGTTTCCTGCTCCAGCCGGCTTTGAACCATGATCCTCAGATCTCAGCCTCCTGAGTAGCTAGGATTACACAAGTGAGCCACCACTGACACCCGGCTTTATCTACTTCATTTTTTACAAACGTTTGAGTTATTGCCAGCATCTGAGAGATTGCTATAAATAATGCACTCTAGATTTCTTATGTGTGTGTGACTTGCTCTCCGTGTAAAAAGACTGAATTGCGCTTGTGTATATTTACCTCTCTCCAGGAAATGGCAAACTGAAATCCTGCAGTGACCAGGGCCTCCCCTGCAGCCCCTCCCACCTAGTGTGACCAGCTGATTCCTGGTGCCCTCTAGGGCTGAGGGGAACTCACTGCGGCTTCCCTGTTACTTCCTAGTTCAACTTTCCTCTTGTGAAGAACTCTTTTGCCCATTCTTTTCCTTACTGAGCACTCTGTTCTTCATTCCAACTTAGCAGCCTCTCAGCATCACCATGTAGGGGGGGAAGGGGGTGCAGGGCTGCTTGAAGCATGCTCCCTGCCCTGCGGAGAGCACTCGGCCGCTCCAAACTCAGGAACATAAGCGGATCGTGCACACTACTAGTGATCACTGAGCCATCCACCCCCACCCCAGGCAGAAAAACGAGAGGGTGAGGGTCAATTTGTGTGGCATCGTCAGTGCTGAGCACAGTATCTAGTACATATTGAGTGCTTTGTAGAGTTGTGTTGCCCAGTTGAGGCATTTTCAGCGTGAAAGTACGGTTGGCGGGGAGCTGAGTCGGTGTGCGTGGGAAATCCGCCCGGAGTGAGGAAGGCCTGCCCAGCCGGGACTGCGCGATCCAGGCAGGCCGAAGCGCAGGGATCGCCAGGCCCCAAGAGAACGGGAGACCAGGGTTAGGCGAGAATGAATGAGGTGGAGACCGGCGTCCAGGTCGAGCCGGGCGGGCGGGAGGAGGGTCTTTCCCGACTGCTGCTGTTCTCTTGCTGGTTTTTACTTCCTCGTGCCGGGGCGACGGGGATGGGGTGGGGTGCGCCGCCGTGAGCACTTGGTCCTCCGATCCCCACCTCGGGGTCTCGGGACGGGTTGTGGGGAGCCGGGAGTGGGGACTCTGCGCTGCGCTGCACCGCCCGGCGGGGCTCTGCGGCGCCCAGGCCGGCCCGGCCCCTCCCCTTGGCCACAGTTTCGTCCTCCCGGGAAACGAAAGCGGAATTAAGCCGGGCCACTGGGCGGGGAGGCCGGGCGGTGCGCGGGCGGTGTGCCCGCGGCGGGCTCCGTCGGGACCGGCGCTGCGGGGCTGGCAGGGCCCGGGGGGCTTGGCGCGGGCCGCCATGGACCCCAGGCAGGTAAGATCACCCCAGCCGTGGGCCATGGGCTTCGCCTGGACTCCTGCAACTCCGGCGCTTGTCGTGGTGGGCGACCGCTTGGGCGTCCCCTCGCCAGACAGAATCGTCCTTCGCGGGGTGTGTGTCGAGTTAGTTAATCCTGCAGCCAGAACCAGCCTCTGGGTGGGGGGCCCAGCACACTCAGGACACCCCTCCCTGGCTTCCCCCAGCCCCGCTTAGCCCCGCCTGAACAACTTGTTACTTTCAGTGGCCCTCCTCTCTCCACCCGTACCAGCACTTGGGAAATTAAAGATAGCCCGTAGTAACCTCTAGGAGGAAATCTGACATCACTTTATTCATTATAGCTAAGAACCGGACAAACACAGGTGGCCTTCAACAGGTTAGCTCACCCGGGCCCCTGGGTGCGGTGGGCCCAGCCGAGAACCCAGGCTCCCAGGCCGCGTCCCTGACTATGGCATTATGGAAAAACCACAGAGGCAGTTGGACAAGGGGTGCCAGGGGCCGGCTGTGGGGGAAGTGAGG